GGACGCGGGAGAGGCTGGAGGCCACCTTGGCCGGCCTGGCGGAGCTGGCCTTCCTGCGGCAGAGGCAGGCGCGCCGGGTCCAGCGGGCTCTCCGGGAGCCAGCCTCCGCGACGCCGGCCAGCGAAGGAGCCGCTGCTACCAGCCCTCTGCCTCTGCCTCTGCCTCCGCCGCGGAGCCTGGAGGAGAAGGTCCTGGAGGAGAACATCCTTCTCCTGAGGAGGCAGCTGGTGAGTCAGGGCAGGGAGGACACAAATGGAGGACCTCCCAGGCCAAGTCAGGAGGAGGAGGAGGAGGAGGGGGGCATGCCCCCCACGTTTTAGCTGCCCTCCCTCCAGTCGGTCCCCACTCCTGGCCACCCTTTGGATAAGGCATCTCCAAGAGTCCCTGTCCTCCATGGTCTTACCCAAATCCTGCAAGCCCTTGCCCATACCCCCCCCCCCCACCATGGAGTCTATCCATCTGGTTTGTGGTCTTCTGCTCTTTCTTCTGCCTTTCCTGGCATTAATGTTTTTTCCCCCAGTGATCCGTGGCTTCTCATGATGTGGATTTTGGAGATACATTGTCTAGATCCAAGGAATCCAAAGCTATAGCTGTGTTAGTCTCTGGAATCAGTAGGTAGAGAGATCTTGTAGCACCTTTGAGACTTAATAGTAGGTAAGTCTCAAAAGTGCCACAAGATCTCTCTACTTACTAGATCAAGGGAAGTCATAGTGCCACTGTAATCTGCTTTGGTCAGGCCTCACCTTGAATCCTGTGTCCAGTTCTGGGCACCACAATTCAAAAAGGATGTGGAGAAACTGGAGCGTGTCCAAAGGAGGGCAACTGAAATGGTGAAGGGTCTGGAAACCATGAATCCTTATGAGGAAAGACTTAGGGAACTGGGTATGTTTAGCTTGGAGAAGAGGCGGTTAAGAGGGGATATGATAGCCCTGTTTAAATATTTGAAGGGATGTCATATTGAGGATGGAGCAAACTTGTTTTATGCTGCTCCAGAGAATAGGACCCGGAGCAATGGACTCAAACTACAGGAAAAGAGATTCCACCTCAACATTAGGAGGAACTTCCTGACAGTAAGGGCTGCTTAACAGTGGAGCTCACTCCCTTGAAGTGTCCTTTGGAGGTCTTTAAAGAGA